TTTACGTCATAACGACAGCATTTTAAATATCCCTTTTACCGAAAATGAAATTTCTAATTCAATAAAAAAGTGCAAAAATGGAAAAGCAGCTAGTAAGTCGGATAATATCTTTAACGAATATATTAAATCTACAGAGTACATTATGTTGCCAATATTTACGAAACTTTTTAACATTCTTCTTGATACCGGAATTATTCCTAATAGTTGGTCTGAAGGCTATATTATACCAATTTTTAATGGAAAAGGAAATACTGATTTACCGGAAAACTATAGGCCAATTACGATCCTGAGCTGTCTCGGAAAATTATTTACTTCAGTATTAAATGATAGGTTGACTAAATTTGTAGAAACTCATAACATTATTCATGAAAATCAGGCAGGCTTTAGAAAAAATCACTCGACTATGGATCATGTATTTACCTTAAATTTTTTGATAGAACTAATGCGTATGAAACAAGTAAGCTTTTTGTAGCTTTTGTTGATTTTTCCCGAGCTTTTGACAATGTAAATAGAGCCCAACTTTTTCACAAATTGCTCGATAATGGTATTGATGGCAAATTCCTAAGAATTATTCGCAACATGTACAATAACATTAAGTCATGTGTTCAATCAAATGGGGAAGTTTCCTCCATGTTTTCGTGCGACTGTGGCGTGAGACAAGGGGAAAATCTTTCCCCTCTTTTGTTCTCACTTTTTCTTAATGACTTACTCGATTTTCTGGAATCTAAATGTAATGGCGGAATTTCTTTAGAATGCCAAATTGACAATATCGATAGTTTTTTAAGTATATTAGTGTTACTTTTTGCAGATGACACGGTTCTTATTTCAAAAACCCCGCAAGAATTCCAAAAATGTTTAAATGATTTTAACGATTATTGTCAAAGATGGGAATTAAAAATAAATACTAGCAAAACCAAAGTTATTATCTTTGGTTCAAATACACGTGGGGTACGCAATATGTCATTTACGCTTAACGGAAATGCTCTGCAAATAATCGATAGTTATAAATACTTAGGTGTTATGTTTAGTCCTAATGGGAAATTTAAGAAAGCAAGAGATCATTTAATTACACAAGCTAGAAAAGCAATGCACCTTTTGTACAAACGAATAAATAATCTTTGTTTACCTCTTGATTTACAACTCAAACTATTCGATAACACCATTGTTCCAATTTTGTTATTTTCATGCGAAATATGGGGAATAGAAAATACTCAAGACATCGAAAAAGTACATATTGAATTTTTGCGTAAAATAACAAATTGCAGAAAAAGTACTCCTGCGTACATGCTCTATGGCGAATTTGGTAGATATCCGCTTGAAATAGTTATCAAAACACGTATTATTAAATTTTGGAAAAATTTAGTGCAAGTTCATCAATATAAATACTCAAATTTTATCTACAAATTTATGTTAAATAGTGATTATACATTCAAATGGCTTGATTATGTTAAATCTACCCTTGATCTAACCGGTCACAGTGAAATATTCCTAAATCAAAATTCTTCGAACTTATGTAACGTTCATTTGTTAATTAAACAAACACTGATTGATCAATTTATTACCGACTGGTTTAGTAGAATGCAACTATCAAATAAAGGCAAACTCTATAACTTGTTTAAATATCAGTTTGAGCGTGAAGACTATTTGACATCATTGCCAAAACACTTATACTTACCTATTCTCAAGTTTAGGACTGCAAATCATAAATTCCCTGTTGAAACTGGCCGTTGGTCTAATATCCCATATGTTAATAGAAAGTGTCCACTATGCCAAAATGACTTAGGTGATGAATTCCATTTTTTGATGGTTTGTAATTATTTCACCGAAAAAAGAAAGCAGCTTATTCCAAATTATTTTTTCACAGATATCCAAATATCATTAAATACCAAGAACTCCTTAAAAGTAGTAACAGCGATATCCTAAAAAATCTTAGTATATTTATAGCGCACATCATGAACACATTTACACGTTAGTTTTACTTTTTGAAATAGTATTTTACTCCGTCAATGACATTCCATAGTAACACTAATGAATGACGTAAATAAGTTTTACACGCTTTCCACGTGCTCCACTTTATCTCCTATAGAAATTAGACAGTTAAATATCGCTGTCCCCATACTTAAATTTATATTAAGTTTTAAGGTTAAAAAAATGTTTCTTGTTGTATTACATGTACTAATTTTCGCTTGATTATCTATCATACTTGACGTAAAACATGTAATTGTTTTCTATTTGATACCCACGCATGTATTTATTTACTTGATTATTGTAATGTCTGTTGTTACAAATGTAACCTTGACGAAATAAAAGAATGTTGTATTGTATTGTATTGTATTAACATTTCAGCTATGTCTACTTTGAACAGTAAAAATGAAAACAAATAAAATGCCATTTTTTTAACGCACACTGCTCTTTTAAGATATAGTTTGTCAAACGTTATATTAGAAAATATTGATAATTGCTACACAGTCTCTTTGTAAATATAAAATAAATTTGTCTTCACTAAAAGAAGATATGTTATGTTTTAAATTCTACACGCTATGGGTGGTCACAATATGAATATATAGAGTACTTTATTATTTTTTTTTTCAAACTTCTTAAGAAAAGACCAAATTTACTTGACCTGTAATAGAGAACGCAGCTTCCTATACATAGTTTATCCATTCTTTTACTCAAATTAAACATATTCAGTACGAATTCCATAGATTTCAATAAATTTCTGTGATTAAAATATGTTTCTCAATGATGAGCATAGTTCTATCTTAAAATGTTCATAAACCTATTTTGTTATTAACGACTTTACATGGAAAAAACACCATGCAATACATTTCCAAATACAGTTTAAAGTATACATGTATCATGCAGCGACCAAAGTGGAAATATATATTTCGCCGTCATGTAACAGATTATGTATTAGATACAGAAGTTGGATATAAATAATGTGTAGAAAGGAACTAAATTTACACGGTTTGTAAGTGTTCCTTTACACAAATTTATAAATGTTATTTTAAAAAGCAATGATTGTAAGTATTAACAGTTAATTAATGTAAATTTATGACAAATGTTGAAGCAGAAAGGATTGCTTTCATTGCTATGAAAAGACTATACAGCATGTTACAATCTACATTTAAGCAATGTTACCCGGAGTCTACTACCTTAAACTCTTTATGTATTGATTAAAGACTGTAGCAGTGTATTGGCAAACAATATTCATTCAGAATAAAGCACGAACAGCGTCCAAAGCGAGATATTTATATGTCATACAATTAACTTACTGTTTTATGCATCTCCTGTAAGTGACAGGGTTGTTTTGATTACGATGTAGGATTTACGGACATGAATAGCGCTTTGTTTGCAAGTAAGATCTTATACATTCATTTGTAATAGTTTTAAATGGATGTATAGTAGAGGCTGACGATAAACTATTTTATAGAAGTTAGGTTTGAATTTATGTTTAAAATAAAAATATATATTATTAAACACAATAACAGATAAAGGTATTATGGCAAAAGAAAGTATTTTCTCACTAATATTTAGTGTAGTAAGCGTTCGCGTTACGAATCAGATTTGTTTGTAACACAGATAATATATATTATCTTCATGGAAATAATTTATTTGAAATAAAAACTGTACAATAAATCTATCGTAAATGAAAAACAAGTTAACACTCGAAATCAGTGTAATTTTGCTGATCATTCAGGTAAACGCTGAAAAAGTAACACTTTAATCATGCATATGTCTAATTGCATGTTTATTACTAGTAAAAAGTAATGTTCGGTGATATTTTGTAATTAGTAAACACTCTATAGTTTTTAAATTAATTATTTCAGTTTGATTGTGTAGGGAGCTATAAGATTGTAGACAGATTATCTAATCCGTTCCTTGAACCAAGTTAACGGTCCTTTGATTACTTGTCTAGTGCGTTAACCCGACGGCCATGTCGCCATGGACCCATTAAGGCATTAACAATGGATAATTATTCTAACAAACGGTCCGTTTAAACGATTTAAAATACTTTCTGATCCTTGAAAATTATTTTCAAAGAAATAGCGGACATTTTACCCGAAATTTCTTTTATTATTTGATGAAGGTATAAACCAGTAGCATGTGTGCAAAATTTCAGGTAATTCACTAACATCGTTCTTTTATTGTACAAAATAGCCCCAACATATCTCAAAATCAAATCTGGCAAAAATGCAACAAAATTCATATTTTTTAAATTGATAAAATACGTGTTTATATCTTTATACTCTTGTGTTACATGTATCTGTTTCTGTTTAAAATGTTTCTATGAATGAATTTCATGTTTTATAAATTTTAGGCCTTTTGACTTTACCACATCAAGTCATCAACTATTACCTTGTGTTTTCTAACATACAATACATATTGTTTGCTAAGGATTGAATTCAGAAGAGATGACTTTGATAATATTACCTCATATACAAATATATGAATAATGAAAAGGCGGCATTATTTGTGCTAAATACTCATATTGTTGCACAGCCAATGTGTAAACGATATAGGAAACATTATCTCTAAAATATCAACTGAGCTTAAAATGATTTATTTATTTATTTACTTACTTATTTACTTATTTATGTATTAGTTTATTTATTTAATTGAATTTCATCAATTGTTTCCCTTTTTTATTTATTTATTTATTTATTTATTTATTTATTTATTTATTTATTTATTTATTTATTTATTTATTTATTTATTTATTTATTTATTTATTTATTCATTCATTCATTCATTTTTATAAACATTAAATAGAAACATGAAAGGAAACGTTATATATTTCGAATCTAAATAATATTTAAATAAAAGACAATGACAATCCTATATATTGCGGTTTACTAATTTAAATATGAAAATCATGATTTAAATATGTGTTTTCATTAATAAACCAAGAATGAATAAAAACGGTTTACTTAATACTTTGTATGCATACACTTTCCAATCGGAAATATGATTGTTATTAATAATTTTGTTTGTTTTTTCAGATTCTAGGGGAATCATCGTTTGGACCCTTTTGTAGATACATAAATTAAGGTAAGTGTGTTTGTTTGTGTTTTTTTTCAGGCAGCATACAATAAAATAGCATGTACTGCAAACACATATTTAGACTCTGAGACTCTAAAATAAAACATTGTTTAAATTAGACAAGCATGTTTTTTTACCATTGACATTTGAAGAAAAAAAATGCAATGTCATATGACCAAAAAATTAAAACATGCATATATCAAGTTCTCTGTGTATGTTAACAAAATACTTTCAACCAAGTAATAATATGAAAGTAAATAAAATATACATTTATTAAATAACAAAGCATTTGCATTTTACTGATTTATTTTGGATTTAAAGTGGATTGGTATACAATGGGAAAATGTTTTCCATAAGTATTGCAAATACTGTCTACAATAGAAATATATTAATTGGATATTCTAATGAAATATAACTTGAAAATTAAATGCTTATACAGTTTAAAGTGATGAATAAATATATATTGTTTTAGAACATTTTATTATCTGCTATCAAAATTAATGATATGTATGTTCAGATCATGAATCTCACACTTGCCAACGAAATCCGTATAAAATTATTTGAAGTTCGTGGTTGGGTGGTATGTATGACACTAACCACAATCAACATACTTATTTATGGTATTAAATACGTTCCATTATACACCATCTCACTTGTCGATGTTTACATCGAATCTGGTAATATCGACAATTGATAAATAAAAATATTTAATTTTGATACACACAGTGGCATTTCAAAATGTAATATATTTTAAACACTGGAAGAATCATTTGTTTATTTTCCTGGAAAAAAACCCCAGCTTATTTCTAATTAATGTTTTAAATTAAGCCTTTAGGACTTTAAATAAATGAATGTCAAATTCTCGTCTACGTAGTGTAGTAAATATGTCTATTTACCTTGTGACCTTGTGCTTTGTTATTTGGAACCGGCTATTGATGTTGCATTCCTATTTGTGAGAAAGCTATAAAGATTGTTAAAGAACAATACAGCTTTATGACTGGGTTAGGCATAAATGTCATGTTCTCCTTGAACAAGTACAGCTTGAAATTCGTAACAACAATTTCATAGATACGCTTCAAAGAAATAATTGCCGGAAACTCTAAGCAAAAAGAAGAACGACATGAATTTGTTTTGTATACTATTTCGTGACGTGCATATTATTGCTCTTATATGAATGACATGTTGTATTTTTTCTTTATTTCTATCTGATCATATGACAGAGTCTAAGAATTTTTTTATAGGACTTGAGACAAGAATAAGATGGTTTTAACAAATGATAAACACTTAAAAATATCTTTCAAATAAAACGTTTCACTTAATACTAACCTATTCTTTCATGTAAAGTGCAACTGATTGCTTGCCTTTGCTTTTCGGTAACTAAATTGCAACAAGTTATTCATCACCGGACGCTAGTGCAATAATTTATCTGTATTTTCTCTTGCCCTGAAGTATGTATATAGCTTGTTGTGTTTAACGGATAATTGTTAAGATTTATTTCTGACAAGGAAATATTGAGTAGCTGTCAGTATTATATAAAGAATTCTGTGAAGTAGGTTGGCGTAATATTAAGTCGTCAACGCCATTAGCTTTCTGTGATTTTGTGTCCGATTATCGCCAACAAAAGATAGAGCAATGAACGACCGAATGATGTGTATTAGTTATGATTAGTAAAACAGATCCACACTTAAAATGCACATATCAGAGTTAGGAGGTTGCTAGCCATAAAACACTTAAAGATCCTGTAACACAATTTTTTCAGGGATTTATTTCATAAATACGATGCTCAAAATAAGATTTGTCAATATTGTAAGTTCCAATAAGCATTGTTTATAAAGATATAACCCAATTTAACATTTCATGTAAATAAATTGAGGTAATTAGAAATTGATTTTCTACAAATTCTAAGTCAATTTTGTCCAATAAGAAATGAATGCATGTAATTTATTGATTAAACATCTTGTAACACATTTTTTTTCATGGTTTTATTTCATAAATATGATGCTCAAATTAAAAATTGTCAATATTGTAAGTTCCAATAAGCATTATTTATAAAAATATTACCGAATTTAATATTTCATGTAAATAAAGGAAGGTAATTAAAAATTTATTTTCTATAAATTCCAAGTCAAATTTACCAATAAGAAATGAATGCATATAATTTATTGATGAAATATTTGCAGTACACATTTTAGATATTCTTCGATGTTTGAAAATTGTTTTATTTGCATAATAATATACATATATAATTTATTGCAAGTGTGGTATACACACAATATCAATCACAAAACATACAGGATCTTTAAATATAATGTGCACAAATATTTGCAGTACATGTTTTACATATTCTTCGATGTTTGAAAATTGTTTTATTTGCATTATTATCTACACATATATTTTTTGCAAGTGTGGTATACACACCGTAACAATATCATTTACAAAACATACAGCATCTTTAATTTGTAAAATTATGTACATGCTTATAACAGAAAACGATCATTATATTTTTAATTTGAAGGACTAAAAATGAATATATATTGGTGTTTTCATTTCTGTATGGCAATCAGTGTTGTATTGTTATAATATATATGACGTCAGTCTTCCAACAAGTTTTTGACTCATTATGTGACAATATTATGTGGTTATTATATAATAACGTTTTAATTTTGGACGAGAACACAGCTGCTAAGCAAGAGATGCTTTTCTTAAATCACAAACTTTTTCATGTTTCTTTCAATGTTTTCCCTGATGATATACGATCATTCACCATTTTGTCTGACATTATATATGTGAGAAACATTCATTGCAGACGACATTCAATCAAACGGAAAAGGCGCCTGATGATATATTTGTTAAATAGAGAATTGAGAATCTGTCAGAGAGATAACTCTAACAAGAGTAATTAACGATGACAGACAGAGTAATTTCGAGTGCTCTATGGATTTGAAAATGAAAAACAGTTAAATTGGTTTCATATATAAAACAATCGCATGCTGCAAACGCTCGAATTTCATTTGTTAAATTTTACAATGTGTGACATATACGCTTTTAAAGTTTAATAAAAAATGAATCTTTATAAATTGATAAAAAACAACTGTAGAAATAATAAAAATTTAATTGACAACCGCCAGCTGATTGTCAGTTTAAGCAATTTATAGGAAAAAGTTATCTTATGTTCGTCACCTGTTTAATCCGTAAATCCACTTTTTGTCGCTATTTAATGTAAAATATGTTTAAATGAAAATGATTGTTATTGCCGAAATATATATTTAAATTAAAGTGATTTAATGAGTAAAGCTCATTTTTGTAATACTCATTTTTCGGCAAATTGACTATTAATTTCTAAAGATTGCCTGTTATAATGAATAATAATTGACCAACAGTTGAAATTGGAAATGTTCTGGATGAAATATAAATCTGCCCTAAAATTAAAAAAGACTGCCCTACTTTTTTATCAATAAGAGGTTCACACTAACTTCTATAGCTCCACGGTGCGCTACCGCCACAATATATTATTTTCGAATGCTTGTTTGAAAAATCCAAATATCCTTAATTCGGAGTTAGTCTTTTGAATGGAATCTATTTAAGAACATTATATATTGTAAGTGAAGCTATTCATAAAAATGATATGACTACAGACTTTAACGTCTAATGCAAACAAACGTCTAAGAAACACTTGAATTGAATTGACTTCAATTTACTTGCCCCTCACTGCTGCGGGTTCGATTTGCTCATCGAATAAGCTTTCAAGCTTGCTTACGGAACGTCTTCCTCCACCAGTAAAGCTAGCAAGTCGCCATTTGACAGAGAAGCTTATGTTAAGTCCTCCCTTGAAGTTTCTATTGAGATCCCTAAGGTCAAAATAGAAAATAAAATTGTTTCTGGATAGTCTCTTGAGTAAGTAATGAATTAGATGGACCCTTGAAATACGGTCAAGATATTTTTTACTAGAAATTGGTAACTGTTTTTCTGGCAAATTAGGTGGAGACCATATAATGATTTTTTTGTTTCCCTAGAATTCTAGCTATTTTAATTCAATGTATCTAATATGGCTGGTGTATATAGTAATAGCTGTTGTGAGTTTTAATAAAGTTATTTTAAATGAACAAATTAACTAAAAAATGCGTTTTTTGCTTATGATACAAGGGGCTTATTAATAAGAGTTGTGACGACATAATCATTTAAATGTCGATATTGTACAGTTTGACATTTCGAATAAATGCTTTGTATATTGACTATTTAATTATGTACACATAGCCAGACTTATTGACATGCCTGTCACTTTATTGAAGAGATTAGCTAGAGGCAAGGTAATGCCTGTCCAAGATAAGACAATTCCTGAGCAGTTTAATTTTCTATCATGATTGATAAAATGAATACAGACAAGTTGAATCGGTAATATTACCATCAGTAGAAGACTGAAACTGAAGACGATGCAATCACCAATCACCAGACATCTATTTGTTATTGTATTAACTAATTTAATCAATTTTGATTGTTTTAGAATAAATATAACTTGCAATGTACATTGACAAAAAAATAAAATGATTTTCACATGTATAACCGTTAAATGAATAGTTAATTTGAGTTTAACCCATGCAATGTGTACTTGCTTGATTACTTTGTTTACCTATATAAATATTATTGTGACCGGATGTTGACTTATTCTTGTTTAAGTTCTGTCATTCGTCTACCTTATTTGTTAAATTGGTCAAAACGTGGACATGTTAACACCCTCCCTACTGTTTAATATATGTTTGAAGTGATATTAATATAGGTAATTAATCACCACATGGTTCTTCACAACAAATATGACGTTCATATAATTACTTCTGAGTATGGATCTATATCCGTATTTTACACAAGACAAGACAACAACATAATAACAAAATAATTCTAAAATGCCTGAATATAGATTTTCAAATGCCTCCGTGATCGAGTGGTCAAGGTCTCTGACTTTAAATGGCTTTGTCCCTCATTGTTGTGATTCGAATCCCGTCTGTGACTGTTGA